ACATATATGTATCTGATTTCCTTTCAAGGAAACACATCAAACCTCTGTCCAGGAATAAGGTTTCAAGACCAATCTGGGTAAACTGCCACTGTACTCCACTGCCTCGAAAGTAAATGGTCCTGTCAATTTTTTGGTAGGTAATTAGCATGTAGTAGTAATTTAAATGACTGAGAAAAATACCCCCATACTGATTCTGAAGTTGAAGACATAATGCAACATACAGAAAATGAAATTTACAATGATGTTATCTCATCGAGTTTTAATTCCTATTATGATGAACAGCGTACAGTGTAACCATCTGAATAAGGAAAAGCTGAGATGTGGACAGCCATGACAGGTTGCTGGAGTTATTCTGAAGAATGGCAAAAGAGTTTTTATATTCACGTCATTTTTGAATGTGGAAAAGGCAGTTTGGAAGCCAATCATGAATGGTTGAAGGGAGCATTATGAATTAAACATTCTGATTATACAAAAGCAAATTATCAGTTGCAAGACATACATAAACTCCAATACTGAACTTCCCTACATACACAAATTCACTCTCAGTTAAAGATTGTATACCTATTTCATAGACGAGACCGGAAATTGAACTGCAACCAGGGCCTCCGGTCATCCAAAGGACCAGAGGGTCCATTTCTGGATTTGATTGGGACTTAATGAAGTAGTAGAAGAGCTGCACATCCTCTGATTCGTCCACACCTATGTACCTGAGCTTTAAAAATTCACCCTGTTAGTTTGATCAAGTAAATTATGCGCTGATCCTACAAACTTCGAAAAAAAAACGGCAAGGGATAAGGTGAGGGAAGGAGTAAGATTCAAACTCTCATCTTTAAACTGCAAAGAAAGGCTAACATAACTACTGCTAATTAGGCTCCATCATGTGATAGAACAATCGTAAAGTTCCAGGATTTATAATGATCAACCATTCCAGATAGGAACTAACAAAAATATTCTAAAACTATAAAAAGATATGTAAAGTTCAATCTAACAACTTGATGTAAGCATTCTCACACATTAGTAACATATCTTGAGTTCAGACATATCTCTACCCCTCAATATTTAGAGACTAAAAAGTCGCATGATTGGAGTTTCGGAAGTTAGAAGTCGTACTCAGTTTAGCTTAATTAATTGTTAGTGTATATTTCACTGTATTTTAGTTCATTATAATGATATTGAATTCTAATCTGTTTGTATTGATGCTCACAAGTAGCCAAAGTATATATATATATATATATATATATATATATATATATATATATATATATATCATCCAATTATCACAGAGCCATCATAGATTAGCAATGAGCAGGGTATACAGAAGGAGCTACAAAAAAGAAGAAAAAAAGATCTATCATTACAAGTAACACGTACGCACTGACCCTGTTTCCAGATGAAAAGGCAGTTTTCCATCAAAACCCGGAAGAAACTCGAGTTCAGAACCGGCCCATACTTGAAGCTTCGAGTTTGAGTTGAAACAAACTTGCAATACAAGCGAAAGCAGCAGCAATATGAAATCAACAAACTCTCCCTTCCACTTCCGTTTCGGTTCCGCCATTTTTGCTTGTCAATTACATTTGCAGTGCGGCTTACGGGCACAAATATCTATCCGGGCTTCCGGGCTTCAGCCGACAATCATTGATTCAGACATACTGCAGAGTTAGGATGCAGACAGGTGTCAGTTCACACGACGAAGTACATTTTTTGTCATCGTCTCGGGCCCTCGTAACTTTTTTTTCTTCTTTCGGCGGCCGCGTTGAAAAGGTGATTGCAGAAACCACACCCGAGGTTTCTTTGAGTAGCACTCACCTCCCCTATGGTTTACAAAATAGCACTGACCTCCTTAGAAACTAATTGTGGCCTGTTGCTGTCAAAAGAGTATGTGAATTTACCTAGCAACCCCCAATTATTTGTAGTTATGTGATGAAGGAATTTTACAAGGGATAATTGCAGAAACTTCCCCTCAGATTTCTTTGAGTAGCACTCACCTCCCCTATGATTTACAAAATAACACTGACCTCTCCTAGGAACTAACTGGGCCCTATTGTTGTCAAAAGAGTGTGTGAATTAACCTAGCTATCCCCAATTATTTGTGGTTATCTGATGAACGAATTTTACAAAAGAATGATTGTTGCTTGTGAACGAATTAAGGGAGTAAATAAGCTAATTAATTACTAATTAAACAAATTGAGTAACTAGTTGTTTAGTATTACCCTTTAAAAAGTGTTTAGTAACTTAAACAAATTGTTTAGTATTACCCTTTAAAAAATGTGGACGAATCCAAGTTTGGAAGAAGTGTAACCAATGGACCTAACTGGGGGACAAAGTGTTCAATCCGTCGGCCGGTTACTGATCATAGGAAAATCCACTGAGTAACCAATATTCTGGTCCTAAACCATTGGACAAATCTAATGGATCAATCCGAGCTAACCATAGAATGGATTGTAAGTGGTTGATGAAATCAGTGGAGAAAATGCAGAATCTGTTATGTGTCGGACTTCATTGTTTTAATTTTAAACAATTTTTGTATTTTAAGTTATTTTCTACTTTCTAGTGTCTGTTTGGATCTTGTAAGTCTACTAAGGCATATCTAATCTATGCAGCATGTTAATTGAGTCTTGTTAAAGTTTAGAAAATTGTATCCAGTAAAGTTGTCAAATCCAATTAGGAAACTTGCATTGTTTCTATCTTGGATTAGATTTTTGTGTCTTGTAAGGCTCTAAATAAGTCTAACCTGTAACGCTTTTAGAAATTAGACGAATATGAGAATTAAAGTTTGAGAGTTTCATCTCTTTCTTGTTTCTTTATCAACCCCCTTGATACAAAGTGAGTCGTGTCTCCTTTGTTCAAATTTTGACTTATCAATTCAAGACCCCATTGAATTGTGGCGCTTTTCTACCCTTCTAAATAATCTCGAGCTGTCCTTGATTGTATTAGAATCTATCTTTTATATCCATAACCTGATCAAGATATATCATTCCGCTGTTTGATCGACTTGGTTTTTCAAGACAGGTTTTTATTGGGTCGAATTTGCATCAAACACTTCACCTCCAACTACCAAATTAAAGTCAAGGAAACCAGCTGTGTTTTGAGTAGTGGATTGCTAAACCAGATCTCATTTATAAGCTGGTGCAAATTCAGACCTCATTTAGCCATTTAACTAGCCATTACTTTCACATGATACTTAAACTGCTGCAGGTGCATTAGAAATGGTTTGCACTTATACCTTCTGAAGTTTATTGATCCTTAATAACTTTTGTCTTTCCTCTGCTAATACTATTAGGCAAGCCAGATGAAGGGCAAATCTGGCATAAATTTCTCATCTCAATCTTTAATGGGACTCTTTCTAGCTTGAACCGAATTTGCAACAGATTCTTTAAGTTCAGGGGTGGTCAATGCAATTTCTTGAACCAGAGGGGAGGTGAGTGCAATTTTCCCTTGAATATAACATGAGAATAAATGTGTCTTTTTGCATTTAAGTGCTAAACTAGATATAGATTATATGCACTAACTAGTTAAAGCATCCATTTGACGCTGGCTTAAAAATTTTTGTCTTAACAGTCCATCTCCAAATTTTGTTTTTTGTGATAAAGGACTGTCATGAAGTATGAACTTGAGCTTTAAATTACAACAAATATTTCTACTCCAATTAATCTGATATATATAGCGACTAAATATGTGTGATGTGTCAGATAGACGAAATTTCATAGCCGTGAGGACTGAGGAGAAGCCTGTTTACAAATGGTTGCTTATCTACACAACGTTAGGTTTAGAATAGATTATTGCAAAAATTTTCGATTTTCTCCACAATTAGAACTCGTATTTCCTGTTTAATGACATTTTGATGGGCTATAGGGAAGTATGTGAGAGCTTGGCTGGCAATCCTTGTGCCAATGACAAATATTCAAATTCAAAATGAAGTTAAAGTTGCTTTTTTCCCCCCTTCTTATTTGATAAATGAGGTACGTAGAAGTTATTGTTCCTAACTATTGCTAAACATGACTTTTAATGGCTTTTTCACAACAAACTATTCTTTAACCTTTGTGTTTATATTTTAAATCTTACCACGGAAACGGAAAAAGATGAGAGCTTTTTCACAGACAAATGCTTTAATTTTTTTGGTATTATTATTATTTAAAGGAGATTCTAAGTCCTGCAAAGGGGAAGAATCTGTTGTCATCGGATTAAGGTCCTTAATAAATTATGTATTGGGGATCAATTATTATTTGTTGATAATATATAATATATAATCATTTTTTATGATAAAATAATATACTTTTGTGATACCATCTCTTATGATAGGTAATATATTTATGGCCATTGGCCAATGACATAATGCTGTCGCTCCCAACTTACGGACCTTGTTTCAAGTTCATTATATACCCAGTCCATCTTTAAAAACTTTTTCTTTTTAGTAAGTGGGAGGTTTTAAATTTAAGATTTCCTATTTACAATTTCTCTCACTTTACTATCCAATCCAACCCTCTCGCCGTCCCCTCCTCCCCCACTCCATCCTAGGATTTATTATAGGATAACTCTTTTTTTTTTTTTTTAATGTCAATTGATAACATCTACCTGACACCTTGCTAATCTATATTAGGAAGAGAGTCACCGGAACCAAGGGTGGTGCTACTACACACACTGTAAATTTAACTGCAACAGTATTGGTTCTGAATCTTCTGAATTGCATCGTATGCATTGTTTTGTCTGATGGCCGAATCACCTAAGTCGAGTTGGGTTTTACTAAAGTATATATACACGCATTACATTTTTCTTGTCTACCTATAAAAATAGACATGTATTGTACGCAAGATGGTGGACTAAAAAGAGAGCAGCTCAAAGAAAGCCCGGTGGCTCATTCTATGCGGGGTTGACTAGATAAAAATGTGACAACCATCAGTGGACAGTCTATCCAAGCTAGAACTAAGACGTTGTGGTCAAAGGCCCTTGAAATAAGTTAAGATTTCTAAAAGATAAAAAGTATGCACTCTCCAAAAAACAAGTAATAAGAAAAAAAAAATTTTATTTTGATGTATTCCACAGCATGGCTAAGACATTTTTCACCAATATTAGGTAAATTAAGTACTTCTTGTTGGACAAGTATCTGTAAGCAATCTTACACACAAAAAAAAGTACATATTGGTCGCCTATACACGATTAAAAGTACAGGACATTTGAGGGATGGATAAGATGTGTGAAAATTCACCAATTGATTACACCCTACAGAGGTTCATGAGATATCCACCTTTTGAACATGGCCTTGCATTCTGCTGGTCTGTACTCTGGAGCCGTGTGGCCTCCTCCCTGCAATCAGCGGTGCAAGTTAGACCTCAATCATGATTCAGGTCATACCACTAATCAGCAAATTAACAGGAGCAAGTCTCTTGCCTTCACTGTGGCAAATGTCATCCGGTTGGCATAACTCCTCGTATAACTATCACATTTACAAGGATAGATATTTCATGTTAATCACTTTAACTTTAAAAGGGCTAATGTCTAAACTTCATTTAGAAAAAAAAAAAAAAGTTTTGCAACCAACCCTGCAACTTGCCCTTCAACCACCCATTGTCGCCAGTCATCAATGATAGGGTAGTTTAGAGACCTAATCCAAGCTTGAGTTGCAAAGAATGGAACAACGAAGTCATGGTCACCACTGAATCACAAAATTGATACTCTCAGGAAAAGGTTGAATTGCTAATTCAGTTCTGTCAATAGACTAATGAGCTTGTTTGTTTAGTAGGCGTGGACCAAAGTTACTCAACCTGTACATCAGTGATCTATAACCTTTACTGCTGAGGTTTGCATGATACGGTACACAGTCCTGAACAGTTGTGGTGTAAGGCAAACCATAGTTGCATCGTCGCCAATACCCAATGCTTTCCTGCAAATAGTCACAGCCTTTAAACAACTACACTGACATGTATGCTTGAACAAAAGGACAATGATGCATTTGCATAATCATTACTATGATTTAAAATGGAACACGCTCCGTGTTTGATACTCTGCATTCGACCAGCATTACCAAATCCAGCTGCAAAGTTAAATTTCTAAATTTAACCAAATTTAGGAAGTTCTCACTGGGAGAGCTCAGAAGCCGTGATTTTAGGTTGTACATATCGTATGAATCTGTTGTCCCTGCTCCCTTAACATTGAATGGGATTTGGGCAGAAATCCCACTAACCAACATTTTTCCTGATGCCAGCTAACTACATTTGGAATAATAAATGCTAGTTCTCTTACTTCTCCCAGTATTTCATGGAACAAATCCAAAGTGTTAGTTATATCTAAAGATAGCCACTTTCAACAAGGCAGAAAAAGGAGATGCACCACTAGCATTTGGTAGGTATCTTTTGAAACCAATATATAAACCTATTGCCCCTACTCCCTCAACTTCGAGTGCAATTTGGGCAGGAATCCTACTGAACAACATCTTCCCTGATAGCAGCCAAATACACCTGGAAGGCTGGAACAATAGATGCTCGTTCTCTTACTTTTCCCAACAGGTCATGGAAGTTAAAACAAATCCTAAGTGTTAACTACATCTATCAATGGCCACTTTCAACAAGAGAGCAAAAGGAGAAGCACCACTAGCATTCAACCTTTCCCATAGAGTAACTGAGAGCAGAATGTCTACGTTTTCTGTTAGTTAGGATGTAATTCTCAAGAAGCATTATGTACCTTGTGAATCTGCAAAGCCTCATGGACATTATCATCATTTGCCCATGCGTAGGATAGCTTGTAACCGTCAGCCTAATAATGTAGGCAGAACAATGAATATGTTATAGTTGATTGAATTATATGAACTATCAGGCTCCACAGAAGTAAAATAAACCACTGATTTAGCTTCTTATAATCTTGAGTAAGGTCTTACGCGACACCTAAATGCAAGAAATCTCTCAAATCTGTTCAGCCCCAGGAACGTTTTATCAAGAGATCCTTCTAAGAAGAGATTTCGTGGATTTGGTGCCCAAAAATCACACGTTGGTTCCAAAATATTTGCAACTTGTATATTGTCAAGTAACTGCAAAATAAGTGCAGGATTGGTTTCAATAAAATAAATATACAGAAACGACAAAGGGGAAGTAGAGAAAAGGTATCCAAAAGGAAAAAATACCGGCCTTATTAAAAACCTGCAAATCCTGTGAGCATGGAAAGTTGCTGGGATCTATGTCTTGGTACTTACCTTTACAATTCCTCTTCAGGGACTGTTCAAGACAATCATAGACTCATAAGCTACTTAACATCCAAAATGAAAACACCATAGGAGAAACAATGAGGGAAATTAATCAAAATGCTACCTCGTATAGTTCATCAGAAATTAGTCCCATCCCATGAGCAAACGGCACTCTATAGTTGTCATCAGTTGGAGTTGTTACTGGGTTGCCAATTAGGTATCCCTGGAGATATTTGAGGCCCACATTAGAAACTTTCAGAAGAATACTTTGATCAGACATGGAAATTGTGTTCCCATGCCACATTAGAGAAATTAGGTAAAAAGCACAAACAGCAAAATTGAAGCTTTTTTGTGGTCTCCTTATCTTTTAAGGCAAGGAAATACGGCAGTGTTTTTGAAACTAGCAAATCCAAACATGGACTCATTTAGTCAATTGGTTTGACAGGATGAAACTTGCTTAACGGATGACCTTCCAATCTAAAAGTGCTATTTAAAGGACCAAGGCATGATAAAATTCTAGATATTTAAAGCTAAAGTGATAAAGATAATAAAATTAGGACCTTAAGATCAATTGATGGCTCAATTCCATTTTCATTCCCTGCATTATCAAAAAAACAAAAGCATGAGAACATTCCAATGCTAGTGCCTCTACTAATAAAATTTTATGACTCACGCTAAAAGGAGAAAAGGAAACTGACAGCACCATCAGAATGCAATGTCAAATTGTAAACAGAAAGAATTAGAATCTGATATTATTGGTTTTCCAAGTGTCATGAATGAGCAACAGGTTGAGTTAGTCCACATCCCATAAAGACTCCCTTGGAATACCTAAAATGGGGTATAGCTGGATACATATGGGAAACATATGGAAACTGGTTCCAAGTACAACAGTTGTGCTCAATATTTTTTCGACATTTATGCGCTGATAGCAAGTTCCTCACTCAGAGGAAGCAAACTGGATTTAATCTTGCACCAACAACTAATTCTTTGTCACTCCCTTCAAAGATCTGCTTTTCCAATTGATGCAGTCTGTTGTCTACTTATTTGACCATTGTATCATAAATAATCAAACAGGAGAAGCCAGATAACGTGTTAAAAGCTCAGAACGTGTGCAAACAATACGAAAGCAAATTCTCCACAGTAGCAGTTGAAAGAGATTGCCAATTGGTATGAGCAGATTTTTTTCCCAGGAATGCAAGAAGATTACTGATACAGGAAAAAGCACAATATCTCACAATCCATGATGGTAATACACATTATAATGCATATCAGACCAAAGAGGCAAGAATTCTTTTACATGCCTGGGATCAACTGATTTTGGCCGCACAATTTGTGAAAATAACCTCTTAAAATTCTTACCCTCGGATATTAATTCGGTAATGATTGGAACAATAAGACCCGAAAAGGAGTCTCCACCAACATAGAAAGGATTCGAGATGAACTCTGGATGATCAATCAGGAACTGCCAAAATGCATTGAAGGATGATAAACTGATTACTGAATCATGGAAACATTAGGGTCAAAATGTTTCAATTCAATTGTTGTCACATATATGATTGTATGGTGAAATCCAGCATTAGCTATATTAAAAAAGCTACATTCAAATTCCAGACAGCAAACAACACACAACACTAATGCCTGTTGGCCACAAGAGAAACAAAGAAAAAAAACACAAAAGATTGTTTTTTTTTTCTCTTTTTTGGGAACAGGGGATGTTGGGGTTTGCTTAGATAATACAAAGTAGAAAATTTAGTCTGAAATGATCCTCACATAATTATGGACGTGGAGTCAAGAGGTTTACCTTCCTGAGAAACTCGAGTGCTTGATTACATGCTTGCAGAGTATTAGATTGTAGAGCATCTGGAGTTCTTGCATAGGAGAATCCAGTACCGACTGGGAAATCAAGAAAAATAAAGCTTGCCACCTAAAAGTTTATTGTCACTTCCAAGTATAATTCAGTTTCCATGACAATGCATAAGGTGAAAAGTTCTATGATTCAGAAGACACTTACCTCAGTCCATGAGTTGGTATTCAGAATTAATCTGGGTAAGCTACCATTGTACTCAACTTCCTCGAACTTTATGGGTCCTGAAGAGGTTGACTGTTAACAGTTGTCTCAGTGTCCTCTGAGCAACTTTTTGGCGGATACTTAAGGAGGAAAATTGAAAAAGAAATTATAAAAAAAAATTATACTTAAGTATGAATTTTTCTTCTTTTTTTTTTTTTCTCCCCCTTTTGGAGGTTTGGGACAAAACTGTCTAAACAATTTGGTAAAATTATTACTTTTCTTGCAGCGCTAATTTTCGTTTTCCCTATTATGCCAAAAAATTGATGTGCCCAAAAAAAAAAAAACCACAAGTTACTTATTTGATTTGGGGAGCGGTATATAATCATATTATTCATATTATCTGTTCATGTATATTGACATAATTTACTTATATAAAATGTAAAGTTAGTTTTGTAAAAGTAGCTTAATTTAGTATTAAAAATTAACATCAAAGTCATCTATTTTATATTGCTGAGTTCTTAACCTTTCTTTCTTTCTTTCTTTTTTTTTTTTTTTTTTGTAAAAACTCCAACATGCCAGTCTTGCCTTCACTATATATTTTTTTAATATTTATCATGCCAAAAATTCAGACAAGTAGTAGTTAATATTTGGAAGGAAAGTCAAAAGAAAACCAAGAGCGTCACTGCATTCTCTACTATTGAAATTATTGCTTTGACTAACTAGATTGCCACACCAACCAATGTTTTGCAGAGCTGAAACAATGCCTTCAACAAGATGTGAGCTTTTACCAAATTCATACAGCAGTGCAGTCAATGTAGAGCAGCCAGGGCCTCCAGTTAGCCAAAGCACCAGAGGGTCTACCTCAGGGTTTGATTCTGACTTAACAAAGTAGTAGAACAGCTGCACATCCTCTGATTCACCCACTCCTATATACCTGATCACGCATTAATTCAATCGTCACCAGCTTGTCTGATCAAGAAAATTCAGAAACTATGAACCACATACATGTTTCTATGATCAGTATCAGTACTTACCCAGTCTCAAGTTCGAAAGGAAGCGGTCCCTCAAATCCTGGAAGAAACTTCACTGCTGAACCCGCAACAGCAAACTTGGAACAACCTTGTAATAACATCAGAATAAAGAACAAGCGGAAGTAAAGAGGCTGATGGAAGAACATGAAAAACGGCCTTCCTTTCCATTTCTGTTCTGACATCTTTTGCTGTCAGAACACAAGAAAACTGATATCTACTCGTGCAGCAGTGAGTGAGGATGAAGGTGCATAAATGTCTTGGCCATGGTGATCCACTCGTAGGAAACTAACAAGCAAAAATGAAATTGAGGGATGGATGTTGGGGACAGTGCAGGGACCAAGATAGGTTCATTTGGAAAATATTAGTATACTGACGAGCATTTTTTATATGTAAAAATTAGCTCTTTTCTATGATTTTGGTCAATAAGACTGGTCGTTTATTTTACTCGTTTGGACAATAAATTGGCTGGGAGGTATTTTTTTCATGGACAATTAATTACGATAACATGTCCTGATATGCATGATCTCCTAGTGTAGGTCGGACTATTATTGGTTTGTTAACCTCTTATGTATGACTAATTTCAAAAATCACCCGTAAAGTTAGGCGGATTTGATAAAGCGGTTATTTGGCACATTTTATACTGTTATTTTATCCTAATTTTGGCTACTTACTGTGCTAAGTATTGAGCTTTAACTCATATTTCCTATTTATATGAATTATAGATGATTGGCGTTAAAAGTAATTTCTTGAGACAAATTTCCAGAAGACCCTTCATCTCAAGGCGTGCCCATCCTAGAAAAAGTAGATGTTACCGAAAAGCTGGATCCGCGAGACCAACAGTAGGTGACCTAATTAAGAAATCCGATCTACGTGGACCAGAGGCGTGAGATCAGAGCCCTGGGACAAAAAGCCTTACTCGTAATGCTTTTCTCCTGCGGTGGCTATAAAGGAATAGAAAAGCAGATCCAGGATTCATCACTACTTTTAGCTTTTAGTTCATTTTTTGCAAGATCTGTCAGACGCTTTTTCCCCTTTTCTTTCTTCGCTTCGGTAGCAATTAGCATAAGTCAGACGGCTAGTTTCCTTTTTGACTTTTACGCTTGTTCTGGACAATTTCGATTAGCTTTTTTCTTTGTAATTGCGGCTCCAAAACGAAGATGGAGTCAGGGCCTTCTAGGTTGTTTCTTCAATTAATTCACTTTCCCCAATTTTTCTGCAATTAATTGAATGGTTTCAATTAAATCACGCGAGATGGATACGATGAGGAGCGGCTAATTTTCTCCTCCTCCCAAAGGTTGACGCGAGGGCGCGGTCCATAATATCTGTGAGATCTAATCGAATCTTCATTATTTCTTCCAATTTATTGCTATTCGTGCGTTTCCTGAATTAATTGTTTATGAGTATTTTATTAATTGAATATCAACGGTCGGGTATTTGATTTAATTTAATAGCCTACTGTCACATTAACTAAATTGAATACGTAATTGTTCGTTTGGTTGATACCTAATGGCGACCACCATAATTGCTTTATGTTGGGGAAACGCAGGATCTAATTTAAATAAACCCTCTTAGCGTGTTTATTGATTGGGATTGGGTTCTTCTAGTTTTAATGCAATTGGGTAATTAAATTCCTACGGTCGTACCTAGAGTTGTTATCTGGTTAGAGAAATAATCAACGGTCGTACCTTGACTGTCGAAAAGGCAAGGAAGAACTGGTTGTCAGAGCTTGTTGATAACTATAACCAACCTAGTGATGAATGGATGAAATATCTTTGCATCGATGATCATTTAATTGGACCGTACCTAAGCAGTTGATCTTTTGGGTAGAACTTGTATTAATTGTTATTTTTGGTAAATTGTGTTTTGTGAGTTAGTTTTGAATTTTGTTTGTTTTATTTCATTTTTGTTTGCCTCCCATTGAAAACCCCCCCTCAATTTCGTTCTACTAATTTGGAAAGAAATAATTTCCTACCCGCTCCCTGTGGAATAGGCCCTACTTGCCATTGTACGCAAAATTAATATTTTTATAAACAAATCTGGTATATCGGATCCAGCAAACTCTTCGAAAACAGGGTGAATCAAGTAACCCATTGCACACCTAGGGTCCCTGTTCCAGTACTTGAATTTGTTCTATAATTAATTGTGGTGGTAATTAGGACTTTTTAGTAATTATTATTGTACAGGTTCGGCACCTGTCAATTTTTGGCACCGTTGCCGGGGAACTGGCGTGTGGATTATTTGTTTCTTTTCAAATTCAGCTTTTATTTTATTCTATTCTATTTTTCTTGGTATTTTTGCTAGTTTATGCTCCGTTCTTTTCGTACATGTGAATTGGTATACGATCTTGAGGTTGAGAAGGTAGGGTGTAGGCGGAGGCAAGAGACCAAGAGACGAAAATAAAGACACTTATTTATTACAAACGAGTCAGTAGAAGACGAAGTAAGCATGACCAACACCCAAACATTAAAGGAGCTGGCTGCCCCGGAGCTGACTCACCAGCCCTTATGCATCACATTCCCCACTTTGGCTGAGAATACTGCTTTCGAAAGTCGGGGCTGATTCACCTCTTACCTTCTTTCCATAGTCTCTCTGGCGAAGAATCCCACAAGCACGTTAAGGAGTTCGAGGTGGTTTGCTCTAGTATGAAACCTCCTGGGGCCACTGAAGAGCAAATTAGACTGAGAACCTTTCCGTTCTCTCTCAAGGATGCAGCTAAAGATTGGTTGTACTACCTACCAGCAGGTAGTATTATCACATGGGTACAGTTGAAAAGAAATTTTTGAAAAAATTCTTCCCTGCATTCCGGGCTGCGAGTTTGAGAAAGGAAATCTGCAGCATTAAACAGTATCCCGGGGAGTTCTTGTATAAATATTGGGAACGGTTTAACAAGTTGTGCACTAGATGCCCGCAGCATCAAATTAGTGAACAACTGTTAATCCAATATTTCTATGAAGGACTCCAATCAACTGATAGGAGTATCATTGACGCTGCGAGTGGGGGACCACTGGCAAACAAAACACCGAAAGAAGCGTGGGAGCTTATCGAAACCATGGCAGAGAACTCTCAATAATTTGGCTTCCGTGAGAGTAACCCTACCCGTAAAGTCAACGAGATAGAGACTTCATCCATACAGGAACAACTGTTAGAGTTGACGTTTGTTGTTAGGCAATTAGCCATAAGAGACACGCCGCGAGCGAAAGTATGTGAAATTTGCACGAGTATGGACCATTGCACAGACACGTGCTCCATTCTGCACGAGGACAGGGCGGAACAGGTAAACATGGCCGAAGGCGTGCCCGCGTCTCGCAGACAGTATGACCCGTACTCCAATACGTACAACCCGGACTGGAGGGACCATCCCAATCTCAGTTATGGAAACAGGCAACAAAATCTATTCCCGAATCGTCCACCAGGATTCCACCAACCATGGCAAATAAAATCTCAACCCTCATCCTCTAATTCAGGAAGCTCCCTGGAGGATATTGTTAAAAACCTGGCCACGACTACTACCCAGTTTCAACAGGAAATCAAATTCTTGACCGCGAATACCGCTCAGCTCCAGCAGGATACCAAAGCGGGCATGAAGGACCAAGATGCTCGGATAAACCAACTGGCAACTGCCATCAACCGCTTGGAGTCCCACGTTTATGGAAAATTGCCATCGCAACTCGAGGTAAATCCTAGGAATGTAAGTGCCATGACACTGAGGAGTGGCAAGGAACTAGAAGGGCCTAAAGTAGAAAATCCAAAAAGCAAAAGTGAGGAGGAGATAGAAAAGGAGATTGAAGAGGAAGGGCGCATTCGCGAAGAGCCTAAGGAAACATCTATTCCTTCGATCCCTATTAAATCTAATCTAGTTCCTTTTCCTTGCAGTTGGAAAAGACAAATAGGGCAGAAAAGGAAAAAGAAATCCTGAATGTGTTTCGCAAAGTTCACGTAAACATCCCCCTATTGGACGCGATCAAACAGGTACCCAAGTACACAAAATTCTTGAAAGACTTGTGCGTTAACAAAAGAAAGTTAAGAGGTAATGAAAGAGTAATGGTAGGAGAAAATGTATCAATTGTACTTCAAAAGAAACTCCCACCCAAATGCGGAGATCTATGTATGTTTACTATCCCCTGTAAGATTGGTCATTCTAGTATCAAAAATGCCATGATAGATTTAGGAGTTTCTATTAATGTGATGCCTAAGTCAATCTATAATTCCCTAAATTTAGGACCTTTAAAAGAAACGGGGATAATAATTCAATTGGCTGATCGTACATGTGCTTATCCGGATGAGATAGTTGAGGATGTTTTAGTGCAAGTAGATGGATTAATTTTTCCTGTTGATTTTTATGTGCTTTACATGGATGATAGAAGTGCCCCAAATCCATCACCCATTATATTAGGAAAACCATTTTTGAGTACTGCCCAGACTAAAATTGATGTTAGTAAGGGTACTCTCACGATGGAATTTGATAGAGAAATAGTCCACTTTAATATTTTTGATATAATGAAACATCCTGTTAACTCTCATTCTGTGTTTGCTATGTATACCACTAATTTCTCTGTGCAAGAATTTTCTAAGTTTGTTTATAGGGATAAATTCAAGGTTGCTGCGAACAAGTCCTATAGGATGAAAGCAATTCATGAGATAAAAATAGAGAGAAAATTTAGGAAAAAAGTTGCACTCAATGGTCATGTGGATCCCGGAGGAGGGCCACCAATTATAAGGAAAATTCAATTACATCCAGACTAAAAAGTGGTGCTATGTCTAGCCAAAAACATTAAAGAAAGGCGCTGCTTGGGAGGCAAGCCAAGGTTTCTTTTGTTTTAGTTTTCTTATATTTTTGAAGTTTTTGTTAAGTGTTAGTGTCATTTAGTGGGTTGTTATTTTGTGACAGGAAGTTGGCAATTAGACATGCCTACGCTAGGTCGTCACACCTAAGGAATGGAGTTTTGGAATTGACAGTCAAACGACTATAACTTCTAAGGCGTGCCCACGCCTTCCAATCCTTCCGAAAACGAAAGTCAAAAAGAAAAAAAAAATTTTTCCTAGCCCCACTTTTCTACTTTTTTTTTTATCCTGTCTTGTCTAATCCCTTTTCACTTTGTTTTAGCTTCAGTCTTCTTCTTCTTGTTGGTGTTGCGTCCATCACCGCCACCACACCACCTTGTGCACGCAGCCGTCTCACCTCCTCCGCCTTAGTGTCTCACTTTCCCTCTCCGGTGATTAGGAAAGTTTCTTTTCTTTTCTCCTTATACTTCATTTATTTTTTCAACATTGAGAACAATGTAGATTTTAGGTGTGGGGAAGTAGTTTCTATTATTTCTTTTTGCTTTGTTACTCTATCAAAAAAACAAAAAAAAAACAAAAAAAATGAAAAAAAT